ACCATAAAATATTCTTTTTGATATTTTACGATTATCTTTTAAATTTTAAAATATTTTGATTTGATTTTTATTACAATCAAATATCACCATAGACCTATAAAAGTTGGAATATCAAAAAATACATTTGCGATTAATACATTCACAGAGTCTTTCTCAAATACTAATGGATTCTCATGATTGCCCTCTCTTGCCGGTGGGAGTGAGATTCAGACCTACTGATCAACAGCTTCTTCAATATCTAATTTGGAAGATTCATGGCCAACCATATTTCAAACGTGCAGTCTTGGATTGTGATCTTTATGGAGAAATGGAACCATGGGAAATCTGGCTACGTTTTGGAGGCACCGACGGCGAAGATCTCTATTTCTTCACCAAACTCAAGAGGTCCACCAATAACTCTGGACGTTTGTCAGCGCATATCAACCGTAAGGTCGGCTTGGCCAATGGTACATGGAGTGGCGAGAACTCGGCCAGTTCAATTTTTGCTACCAAAACCGATAAAACAATAATCGGCTATTGCAAACGCTTTAGGTTCGTTCTGTCATTTTGATTTCAATTTTTGTTAGAATCTTTAACCTTATGTTTGTGTCCTTGGAACATTTAAGTCATTGAATACATTTTAGGTACGAGAATGCCCAATTGCCCGAGCATCATGGCGAATGGATTATGCATGAATATAGCTTGCATCAAGATTCGATACAACAAGCTGTAGATTCAAATTATGTTTTATGCCGATTCAAAAAGAATGAAAGATTTAAAAGAAAATTACAAAAAGATCTCGAGGAGCAGCAACTTAGCAAGAAAAGAATGACCTAAATTCTTCCAGAAGTCTACCGTCAAAGAAGTGATTCTGCACTACAACCGACCTTAGTAACAGATCTAATCGATTTTAGAACGTTTAATATTTGAATTTATGTAATATTGGTTGAAGATAGATTTCTTCTTTTTTTTTTTTTTCTTTTTTTAAATAGTTAATAAGATAGAGAGTTGGATTGGATTGAAGGATTTCTTTTACCGGAAAATTTTTACAATCCAACCCTCTATTTTCGAGTTGAATTGTTGATTAAAAAAAATTATATTTTTTAGAAAGTTTTATTTGTCCAAAATAATTAAAAGTTAAAAAATCTATCTATAATTATTCACAAAAAAAAAAAAAAAAATCAATCAAGAACAAGGAGCGAAAATGGTAACATATTAACATACTTCAACATTGTTATAAAACTAAAACAATTAAAATATCGACATTGGTTGAGATATCGTTAAACTAAGAAAAATATAAGGATAGATCATCAAATTAAAAAAACAATAAAAATGGTAGTTTAAATATACTATATATATATATATATATATATAACAAAATAACAAAAATAAAAAAAATATTTAAAAAATATTTTAATTGAAATAGACTTATCTATATAGATTTTGAAAAACTTATTCAAATTAAATAATAACAAAAATGAAATGTATTTGATAGGGACGAAGAAACGGACAAACCTACCATTACGATTAACTTCTTTATATATTTTATATATTTTTATTTGATTCGGGTCAACTCGAAAGTTTTATCTCATAAATCGAAACTGAACCGAGTCGGTTCGAGTTTAGAAAAATGAACTCAACTCAACCCTTATAGTTCGGGTTGGGTTGGTCGGGGTTGTCGAGTTGAATGTACTCCTAATTCTCCTTTCCAATTGTGGCCATTGTGGTCCTAACTTATTCATTAATATATATAATTACTAAATAATTAAATATTTAATTTAATCTTAATTATTATTATAAATTTTGTATACAAAATATTTGACAATATTATATAACTAATAATAATATATTGTTTATACTTTTGCTTCCATTTTAATAATTTTACGCATATTAATAACTAAAAAAGAAATTAGGGAATTACATTTTATATATTAAATATAATAAAAAAAAGATATCTTCATTAGTCAGTCCAACTCCACTCTAAGAAGAGGTCTAATTTATTTATTTATATTTTTTAAATTTAAACTTTTCATTATTTTTTTCCATTTTCCCATTGGATTTTGGAAATAAAAATTAAAATATTAACAGAATTAAAAAATAATTTAATAAAAGAAAAATAAGAGAAAAAAAAAAAAAAATAGATACACACCATTGTCAAAATTATAAATTGAAATCTTGATCGATGGTCATGTCAGATATAGTGTCTTGTTCAATGGTCGATGGCGCCATTATTCTTTTCTTGCTATGTTGCTATAGCTCAAGATTTTTTTGGTAATTTTCTTTCAAGTCTTTCATTCTTGCTAAGTCGACATAAAACGTAATCCGAGTCTACAACTTGGTGTATCGAATCTTGGTGCAAGCTATACTCATGCATAAACCATTCACCATGATGCTCGGGCAATTGGACATTCTCGTACTGAAAATGTTCCAAGAACACAAACAAAAGGTTAAAGATTCTAATGAAAATTGAAATCAAAATAATAGAACGAACCTGAAGCACTTGCGATAGCCGATTATTTGTTTATCGGTCTTGGCAGCAAAAATCAATTTCACCAAGTCCTCGCCACTCCATGTACTGTTGGCCAAGCCAATCTTGCGATTGATATGCACCCACAAATGTTCGGATTTATTGGTTAGCCTCTTGAGTTTGGTGAAGAAATAGAGATGTTCGTCGTCAACGCCTCCAAAACGTAGCTAGATTTCCCATGGCTCCATTCCTCCATAAAGATCACAGTCGAAGACTGCACCTTTGAAATATGGGAGGCCGTGAATCTTGAAGTTTAGATACTGAAGAAGTTGCCAGGCCCACCGGCACGAGAGAGCGATTATGAGAATCCATTCAAATTTGTTATTGCCCAGTTATGAGTTGGACTATCACTATGTTTCATAAAGTGCTAGTTGTGGTATCCATAGAGTATGAGTTATTGTGTAACGTATTTTGGTCATAATACCTAGTCATGAGTTCCATAGCCTTCTTGAGTTGACGAGGCATCTTGTAGTGACAGATAGGGCACAACCTCTATTCATGCACTAACCAACGAGTTTAGGGTCTATTGTTAGACATGCCTTAGTTGTCACCCATTGAGAATTTCAAGAGTCGTAGAAGGTATACTACTGAAGTACTATCGATGGTGCTTAGTGGGGTAGTGACAGGTAATTTTATTGTAGTTACTCTAAGATGGGTAGTTTTATTGATCTAACCCGAGAAGGGTACATGAGAAGATAGTTTACTGTTCTAGTATGGAAATATAAAGTGACAGGTAGTTTATTGATCTTATAAGCAGGTACATGTTGCTCGGTACCATTTGAGAGAATCCACTAATTAGAGCTCAGTAAGTAGATATGTATGTAGTACGATCATCATTTAGAGCAAAAAGGGCTCCTCTAGACTTATGAGTATTAGTACCCTATGGCCTTTCCATGGGTCTCAGCACTCGAGGCGCACTTTATGCAAGACTGATGAATGAACTAGACATACGTGGTACCTAGAGCCAAGAGAAAACAAAAAATCTCTAAATCTTGAACATTAAGCTTTGGCACGTAAGAAACTCAAGAATTTTTTAAGGAAAAGAAAGACCCAAAATTTTTTACTCAATTTAAGGTCGCTACTGTATACATATCATAAACATTGAATGCGGAAATACTCTATTTAAATTTCATAAAACATAACCTTTATCTTAAAACACAGCCACGGACTTACGTGTTTCGAAAACACCTTTAAAACGACACAACGAAAGGTTAAATAAAATAAATAAACGTTTAAATTAAAAACATCCTATTCTAACCCAAGTATAAGAAAATAAATATCACTATCCTATGCATATGCTATGGTCTCGAGTTGTGATGCCGTCGTCAGCCGTACAGGAATGCCTTGCCTTAACTTGAAAAATGAGGTAGCACATAACTTGACTATTTCGGGGCATAAATGAATTAATATAAATGATTGACATTTAGTTTTTAATTCAAAGTTAAATCACTGTAATAGTTTAATGAAGATTTAATTATAATTGATGTGATTTTTAAAAAGCAGATAAAAGAAAATAAAAATTTAATATATACCTATCATGTCTATCTTCACTAAATCCGAGCTATCGTAGATAAAAGAAAATGTGGTAACCATAATACTTAGCTGTTGTTGATTCCCAAAACGTCTTTAGAACACAATATGCATGACACATATATCCAAATTATGCATTAAAACTTTAATTTTAAAAGTTTCACATTTTTTTCTATATTAAATTAGAAAATAAAATTTGAAGAGAACATAATTTTAAAAAAATATTATTATTATATTTTAGGGTGAAAATTGTAATTTTGTTTTTAAAGGTTTTTAACAATAAAATAAAATATAATATATTGACAACATTTTGACATCAAACATTTTTAACCTTATGAATTCAGGCTATTTAAAGGGTATTTTTAAATTAGAATTCAAAAATATTTTTGAACAGGTATTTAATTTTTTTTTTTAAGGTTAAATACTTTTAAATTAAAATAATTTCAAAAATATTTTGAAAAATGTATCATTAAATTTTAATTTAAAATGTTTAAATTAGAATTCAAACGTATTAACCTTCAAGGAGTTAAAAGCCATTTTTAATTTTTTTTAAAGATGGTATTTTTAAAATAAAATATTTTGAAACTAAAAGTTTAAGGATTTTTTTTTATAATTTTAATTTTAATTTTTTTTAAGTGGAAAGATATTATTGAATATTTTTAAAGTTTAGAAATATATATATTTTTTAAGTTGCATTTTTTTAAAAAATTAATTAATAAAAACGTCCATACAAAATATTTTTTTTTACCATTATTTTTTTTAAGTTTTAAAATATTTTAATTATTATAATTATAAATAACCAGAAATATTATTTTTGATATTTTACCACTACCAATTTTAAAATATTTTGATCTGAATTTTATTACTATCAAATAACCACGTACAAACTTATAAAAGCTCATTCCAAGAATATCAAAAAATATATTCACGGGAAATACATTCACAGAGTCTTTATCAAATACTAATGGATTCTCATGATCGCCCTCTCTTGCCCGTGGGAGTCAGATTCAGACCTACTGATCAACAACTTCTTCAATATCTACTTTGGAAGATTCATGACCAACCATATTTCAAACGTGCAGTCTTGGACTGTGATCTTTATGGAGATATGGAGCCATGGGAAATCTGGCTACGTTTTGGAGGCACCGACGGCGAAAATCTCTATTTCTTCACCAAACTCAAGAGGTCCACCAATAACTCTGGACGTTTGTCGGTGCATATCAACCGCAAGGTCGGCTTGACCAACGGTACATGGAGTGGTGAGAACTCGGCTAATCCAATTTTTGCTGCCAAAACCGATAAAACAATAATCGGCTATTGCAAACGCTTTAGGTTCGTTCTGTCATTTTGATTTCAATTTTTGTTAGAATGTTTAACCTTATGTTTGTGTCCTTGGAACATTTAAGTCATTGAATACATTTTAGGTACGAGAATGCCCAATTGCCCGAGCATCATGGGGAATGGATTATGCATGAATATAGCTTGCATCAAGATTCGATACAACAAGCTGTAGGAGCATCATGGGGAATGGATTATGCATGAATATAGCTTGCATCAAGATTCGATACAACAAGCTGTAGATTCAGATTATGTAATGGATTATGCATGAATATAGCTTGCATCAAGATTCGATACAACAAGCTGTAGATTCAGATTATGTTATGGATTATGCATGAATATAGCTTGCATCAAGATTCGATACAACAAGCTGTAGATTCAGATTATGTTTTATGCCGATTCAAAAAGAATGAAAGACTTAAAAGAAAATTACAAAAAAATCTCGAGGGGTCGGAACTTAGTAAGAGAAGAATGACCACCTGAATTCTTTCATAGTAGAAGTCGTGCAATAAGAGACGATCAAAGATATGATTCTGCACTACAACCGACACTTCAGATGATCCAACCGATTTTAGAATATTAAATATTTGAATTTCATCCGATTTTAGTTATTTATGTAATATTTGAATTTCAATTAGAGAGGTCATCAATCAAATTTCAGTGAGTATAATTTTTTTTTAACCAATATTATGTCTCACTTTCTAATTTCAATAGCCTTCAATTTCTCTCATCAAATTTGTTAAAATAAAAAAATATAATAATAATAATAATTTAAAATAATTTCAAAAATATTTTGAAAAATGTATCATTAAATTTTAATTTAAAATGTTTAAATTAGAATTCAAACGTTTTAATCTTCAAGGAGTTAAAAGCCATTTAAATTTTTTTTTTAAAAGATGGTATTTTTAAAATAAAATATTTTGAAACTAAAAGTTTAAGGATTTTTTTTTATAATTTTGATTTTTTTTTTAAGTTTAGGATATTATTAAATATTTTTAAAGTTTAGAAATATACATATATTTTAAGCTGCATTTTTTAAAAAAATTAATTAATAAAAACGTCTATTCAAAATATATATATATATATTTTTAAGTTTTAAAGTATTTTAATTATTATAATTAAATAACCACAAATATTATTTTTGATATTTTCCTATTATCTTTTAAGTTTTAAAATATTTTGATCTGATTTTTATTACAATCAAATAAACACGTACAAACCTATAAAAGCTCATTTCAAGAATATCAAGAAATACATTCACAGAGTCTTTCTCAAATATTAATGGAGTCTCATGATCGCTCTCTCTTGCCTGTTGGAGTGAGATTAAGGCCTACTGATCAACATCTTCTTCAATATCTACATTGGAAGATTCACGACCAACCATATTTCAAAGGTGCAGTCTCGGACTGTTATCTTTATGGAGAAATGGAGCCATGGAAAATATGGTCACGTTTGCATTCTAATAAACGGAAAAAGAAAAAAAAATGCAAAAGTTCCATTCATTGTCAAAATTATGAACTCATATCTTCATCGATGGTCACGTCAGACATAGTGTCTTGTTCAATGGTCGATCTAGGCCCCGTTATTCTTTTCTTGCTATGTCGCTGTAGCTCAAGATTTTTTCCTAATTTTCTTTTAAGTCTTTCATTCTTGCTAAGTCGACATAAAATGTAATTCGAATCTTCAATTTGGTGTATCGAATCTTCATGCATAATCCATTCGCCATGATGCTCCGACAATTGGACATTCTTGTACCTAAAATGTTCCAAGAATACAAACAAAAGGTTAAAGATTCTAACGAAAATTGAAATCAAAATCATAGAACGAACCTGAAGCACTTGCGATAGCTGATTATTTGTTTATCGGTCTTGGTAGCAAAAATTGGTTTGACCAGGTTCTCGCCACTCCATGTATCATTGGCCAAGCCAATCTTGCTGTTGATATGGGCCCACAGATGTTCGGAGTTATTGGTCAGGCACTTGAGTTTGATGAAGAAATAGAGATGTTTGCGTCGATGAGTCCAAAACGTAGCCAGATTTTTCATGGCTCAATTCCTCCGTAAAGATTGCAGTCGAAGACTACATCTTTGAAATACGGGAGGTCATGAATCTTCCAATGCAGATATTGAAGAAGCTGTTGATCGGTAAACCTGAATTTCACGCCCACTGGCAAGAGAGAGAGCGATGACGAGAATCCATTAAAATGTGTTTCTTGAAATTCTTGGAAGGAGCTGCTAACTTGAATTTCCTTCCAATTCTGCTTCGAACTAAACCTATTTAAGAATAAAACCAACCTGGGCCACTATTGTAATTAAACAAACTTTTTGGCCCTTGTTCCGCAATTTAATAAAAAACGGGTGCGCTTTCATAATTTGAGGAGTATATTGTATCGTCACGTAGTGAGCATGACGAGTATGTTGTATGCGTTTATAAGTTTATTATGCATGATTTAAGGTTTGGATAGCTCGTTATTGCCCAGTTATGAGTTGGACTATCACTATGTTTCATAGAGTGCTATTTGTGGTATCCACAGACTATGAGTTATTGTTTCACGTATTTTGGTCCTAATACCTGGTCACGAGTTCCATAGCTTTCTTGGATTGACCAGATATCTTATAAAGACGGATAGAGAGCAATCTAACCGTGCATACCTAACAAAGGTAGTAGATATGAACGAGTGTGTGTGGATCCAGAGTCAAACAATACGAAAGCATGAAAGCCAAGTACTGGTAAGGTACTTGTCACCATGGTGTCCATGTCATCCGCCCTCTTTCAAGTAGTTGCCCAAGCAGTACCGCGATTCTGCGCCTTGCTCCCTCGACCTCCTTGCCCTGACCCTGACGCCCTGTTCTCCTCTTGCCACCTTCGGTGAGGGCAATCAACTTCTTATGCCCGCTCTTACCACAATGGAAACATGCATCCGAACCTGCCTCGACATCCTAGGCAGAACAAAGTATCAATGCTTACATCATACTCATCATGCAAATCAATGACTAACAATCTACCTCGACATCCTAGGAAACACATAAACCCAAACGCCTATCAAAGAATTTCATATTGATGCATGCGGAAGCTATATAAGCCTAACTATAATCAAGGTATAATCATTCACAATATCGAAGTACAACACGCATGAAACTAATGTTAACCAAACTCCTAAGTATAATACTAGATCGTTTGCCCATACTCCAAACCGACTCCTACAACCATTTCTTAGAAACTTGCTCCATGCGGTTACTTACTTGTTGTAGGCTTCCCGAGCTTGTTCCAGGTCTTCAACAATTTTTCAATTTCTTCAAAGATCTTCAATTAGGTCCTACATTACGAAAATATATCAAAACTATAGAAGTTGGGTAGAATTCGAGTTAAATGATGCAAATTTGCGAGAATTGGGTCTCTGAACCTTGGGTATGTTGGGTTTTATGTCCTAAAACTCATAGTTTGTAAACAAAAACATATTCTATTTTCAATAAAATTATGTTTATTCAGTAAAGATTGTTAATGAATAAGGTGAATTTTACGATTATTAACCTAAATCTAATAAACTAAGAACATTCTAACTATAGTATGATTATTGGAACTATATGTAGAGACATAAGAGAGTTTCAAGTTCAAGTATATAGTCAAAATGATCTATAGTATAGGGATAAGGATGAGTATCTTATCCTAGGGACACTATGGATGCGGCCCACTTTTGTATATTAAACAATGTGATCACTAAATTGTACATGCGGAGACATGTGAGTTAGAGTGTTCTATGCAATGAGTATTGCATAAGATCGGACCATGAAGAAAATCACTCTCACTTTATAATGTCATTTATTGTTGAGACTGTTTTTTTTTCATTCGATGACCTAGGGAACTCGATCTTAATCCTGAGCTAACCATGAACTCCTGTTTATTCAGAATTATCTTTAGATTTGCATGGGTGAGAGTGACTCGAGTTCGCCAACTCAATAAGCCTCCATTTCAGGGGTAAGACTGGGTGAATAGCTGGGAACATAGGGTGCAAGATGGAATTCACTCATATCCACTTTTAGAGATAGTAGAGAGGTTGTTCCAAGTACTGACTCTAGGTCTTGAACAAGAGGCTCCATCCTCTCATTGGTTAGAGAGGGATTCAGTTTACTGGTTGGACCACAAACCAATTGTTCATTAGAGGATTAGTGGAACATAAGGAACAAGAAGTAAATTCAGGGGTAAAAACAGTAAATTTACCCAGCTCTAGTTACAAACAACTTGTGAAGGATCGACTTACCAATCATGGTTATATCAAATGGACAAAAATATATCTATAGTGAGGGGAGTGCAACTACTAGGCTATAGTGGAGTCTCCTAGTAGTTAATGAATGTTGGTTACCAAGGTTAATGAGTTAAGCCGGTTAATCTTGGTCGTTGGAGCCCATGATCTATAGGTCCATTAGGTCCCCTTGCTAGCTTATATCGAACTAAACTATAGAACAGTGTGACGAGTGAGTTTGAAGTGTTCGAATTCAAATTAGGGAATATGCGCTAAATATATACGATATATTTAACCGCATTTTTGTTTTATTTACGAATTAAGCAAAAAGAGAGAATCGGATATATTTAAATAAGATTTAAATATTTTAATCAATATGTGTCAGACATGGATGGACATTTGAATGAATGTTAAATATTAATTAAATTGTTTAATATTACTTTAATTTGAAATTAATTATTTAAATTAATTGTTTAATTAAAATGGAGAAAATCAAAAAGTTGACTTCACTTAATGAAAAAATCCATGTTTGAGTGAGTGGAATGTTGAGTATCAAAATTTGGTTTAACCAAACTTACATGCTTGCCAAATAAACTCCACAAATTTGAGTGGAATTTGAGTGTCAAAATTTGGTTAACTCAAACTTGCATCCTTGCCACAGAATCCCACAATTTTGAGTGTCAAAATCACTCCAAATTTGGTAATCTCAAATTTGCATGAACATTCAAATATGACTCTATAAATAGAGTGATCACAAACTCTCATAAGAGAGCTCTCTCTTCACATATACTAAATCCGTTCCAAGTTTAGTCACAGGCCAGAGAATAGTAGGGAAGACACTAGTAGTGGTTCGAAATCGGTTCGTAAGGAAAAAGAAATTTGAACTTTAGTACTCAAACTCTTTTGAGTTTTAATGCTTATGAACATGCTAGCTAATTTACAATAATTGATGTACTTAGAGTGCCAAAGATCTTGATGTTGATGTCCTTAGAGTGCCAAAGATCCAAATTGCTTCATCATGTGTTATAACAACACCAACAGGGTCATGTTTACCTACGGGTCTGGTTTGAGTAGTGGGTTGGAGTCAGCTAGATGGGCCGGGTCGGGTTGGGCCGATGCTGACTTTTGGGTCACTAGGCGGGTAGGGTCGGTCGACGGGTCGGTGGTTTTGCAGGGCGGTTTGGTATTGTGGGTCAATTTGGTCCAAGGGTCGGTTAAATCTAGCGATCAGCTCCTTCCTCCCCTCGACTTTCCTTCACTTCTTCAGCTTGTTCGACACTTGCCAACGTTCATTTTTCCCTCTTCTTCGACCCTTGATGTAACGACCCAAATCTACCGCTAACAGATATTGTCCTCTTTGAGCTTTCCCTTTCAGACTTCCCTTCAAAGCTTTAAAACGCGTCTGCTAGGGGAAGGTTTCTACACCCTTATAAATGGTGGTTTGTTCTCCTCCCCAACCAATGTGGGACATCACAATTCACCCCTCCCCCCCTTCGGGCCCAGCGTCCTCGCTGGCACTCTTTTTTTCCTCCAATCGATGTGGGACCGCCCCCAAATCCACCCCCTTTGGGGCCCAGCGTCCTTACTGGCACACCGCCTCGTGTCTACCCCCTTCAGGGAATAGCAAGAAGGCTGGCACATCGTCCAGTGTCTAGCTTTGATACCAATTGTAACGACCCAACTTATCATATAAGTAGCGGTTAGGGCCGTTACGAAAAATAATGAGATTTATTTGGAAAAGGATGAAAATCATGCAAAAATTTATTAGAAATCAAGTGGGGGCTACCCATTCAAAATTAAAAAAAAAAAAACAAAATGCGACCTAAAGATATTTAAAACAAAGTAGGAAATTTAAAATCAAAAGAAAGTGTGATGTGATCGCCTAGTTCCCACAAACTAGGTGTCCAAAATTTAAATTAATAACAAAAGTGCGGAAACGTCTCTCCCACAAAATGAGACTAGGAAAAAAAACATAAAAATCCTTGAATAGCCTCGTGATTGACTTTGGCATCCTACTCGTCACCTCCGTGCTACAGCTTCGCCTGAAAAATCATCTTAAAAATAGAATGAGTATAAAAATACTCGGTAAGGAACTCCCCTATTGGGGTCAACATATGAATCGTCATAAGGCGATCAACCAAAACACACAGCAGGTGATTATTGCCACCACAACATCAATGCCACCTTTACTCCTTAAAGTGGTTATTCCTAGTTGGTTACCCGAAACACACAGCGTGTAACCATTACCACAAGGATCTCACCTCCTTATTTCCTCCAATTGACTATCAACGACTGGTTACCCAAAAACACACAGCGTGTAACCCCCTGGATAGTCGTTTCTTAGAATCACCCCAAAGGTGACTATTGGTGGCTAGTTACCCGAAACACATAGCGTGTAACTATTACCACAAACCCCTAAACCATTGCTACCTACAAGCACAATATGCCGGCAATAGACACCTATCCAGACTACACAACCTAACCATATTGCACAACCTAACCATATTACACAACCTAACCATATTACACAACCTAACCATATTACACAACCCATATTACACAACCTAACCATATTACACAACCTAACCATATTACACAACCATCCGATTACACAACCATCCAATTACACAACAATCCAATTACACAACAATCCAATTACACAATCAGGTTACACGACAATCAAGTTACATGACAATCAAGTTACATAAAATTACACACAGCGATCGTATTACCCAAAGCGATCAGATTACACACACCTAGCCATAAGACAATTCTGTTCGACCCATTTTTTAAAAAAACAAAACGTTTATTTTCAACAAGCGT